TCTCGTCAACAGTTTAGCTTTCTGTTTACGTCGACATTTAACTAGCACTTATGAATTAATTGATCATTGTATTCAGTTCAGCATTAGACTACTAATTAAGATACCATATTACTTATCACATCCTCTGTGCACGTGAAAAATATACTTATCTCCACGTAACTTCCTGTGTATTAATAAACAAGGTTTTTACCCACAAAATGTATTTGTACCAATTAATTCTCTCAAATTCGTGACACCGTAATCATGCCCGGAAACGGCGGAGAGGAAGTAGTTATCTGCAAAACGTCATTTTTTCGGATAGATATGGCGGTATCGCAGTGTAGGAATTTCTTAATAATTCGTGGGCAGTGTCCAGTCGAGAGCAGCTCTCTAGCCTCCATCAGCGTTCGTTATTTTTAGTCCATTCAGAGCCAGTTAAGAATTTGTTATATGGCGTAGGTGAATATTGTTTCCGATAGTTAAAAATTCCAAACGTGCCCACCTTTATCTCATTTTACCCGCGGCATTGTACCCGATTTCCCTCCCCTCGCCCGGATTTGTGGCTGCGTAGCTCGGTAGCCCGACTGGTAGGCAACAGGTCAATGCTTTCCATCTCTTTCCGACACGACCGTCCTTTGGGATCTCTCTCTAAAACATTCTCGTTCCGTCTCTCTCCCGCTCGACCACTTTTTGACCCTCTTCGTCCCACTCGCGTCGACCATATGGGTTACAGGGACACGGCGCGAGTAAAGCCCCCTTCACCTTTTCAGCGAATCGCACTGGAGAAGAAATGACAACACCATTACATACGCTTAAGACACGACGGATAATTACTGCTTTAATTAAAGAATGAGATGATTGAATGTGTGAGTTGTGTCATTTCGTGAAGCGGCTTTTCCTTGAATTCGTTCCGATCAATTTCGCGAAATAAACGCCTAGATGTAGGACTGGAATCGTGGACGTTGGAGTTTGATGATGGGAAGAAATGCCAAAGATTTACACTTTGTTATCTTATCTCCTATTTACGCATTTCCCAAACTGCTTTCTTTAAATATTGTGCGTCACTTTGGAAATTGACGATTTTGGAAAACATTGACTTTTTGATTTTTTTGTTGATTTTGACGCTCCTAGATGGGTATTTGGTAAATTTGAAGTGACTACGCGCTGATAACCTTTGTAATTGATTGCGGTATTACTTTATTGCTTTGCCAATTACTCAAAGTGTACACGCGACTACAAAAGAGTTGACTCTATAAGGACAGCTTACCTATAGCAACAATTATACTAAACTCACTTTTATGACTTAAGCCAAATCACCCTTATAAGTGGAATTGGCTATTGTATAACTTAATTCAGTTCACATAACTTAGTAAAACTTTACAGCTCCATTATGGCAACAATGGACAGTAATAATTCTTGCGGTTCGGATCCATAAAGCTTACAATAGCCAGTTTGTCTTAAAAGGTGGTTTGGCTTAAGCCGTTTAAGTCAAAAGTTTTACTAGGTGTATGTCAAGTGAGTTTATATATATGTCCACACTATAATCACTCCAATACATTTATCCTGTCTTTTGTCAGAAAGCTACAAGTAAAGTGGAGACTAGGATTTAAAAAAATTACTTCCTGTTTCGAAAAGTGTTCATTGGAAGCCCTCCATAAACCGCTTAGAATTATGGTAATAATAATTTAGAACCCTGGCCTTTTATGTCATTGCGAAGAAGATTAACAAAATTTGAACAAGAAGCGACACTCGTGTCGATGCCTCTGATCTTTTGCTGGTCAATTTTGGTGATCTTCAGCCATATTGTTAGGGTGCTGTGGAATTTTAAAAGTTAGTTTTCATCAAGATATCAATATTGACGTAAATAATTTGTTTGTCATTTATGTAGGGAAAAATTGGTCGCACGTGAATTTGTCGCATTTCCCATTTTCCCATTTATCATTTCGAATTTTTAGTTTCTCATTCCGAGTTTCCCATTTCTCATTTCTGTAGTTTAATTTCGCGATTCTTACTTCCCATTTCTGATGTTTCGTTTAGCATTTCTTATTTCGCATTTTTAGTTAATAAGATAAATAATAAAATTCGTGTTTGTAAACCTTAGCTGTAAACTAACCTAACCTCCAGAATCAACGTCACAACAAAACATCTTTGTAATTAATAGAACTCGGATTTTCTATGATTAAAACGGTGAAAATGTGGGTATGAAATAAATGACGACAAACGTCTATTTTAAGAAATGCGATGTACGCCTGCAATAAACAAAGATAGAACAGTGCGATACAGCTTTAGTAAACACACTCTCTGTACACTTTGGTGAACTTGCGCACTAGAAATCGTTTTCTCCATTTGGTGACAGTGACGCTTCTTGTTCAAATTTTGTTAATCTTTTTTGGTCATTGCTTGCCCGAGAGGCACACGGGTTTCATGAATCAGACGTACCTGAACACATTTTAGTAGGTAAGTCTTGTAAATCTGTTATTATAAGCCTCAGCAGTTTATTAAGAGGTTTCAATAAACACTTTTAGAAATGGAAAGTCAGTGTTCGCTAATTCGTGATCTCTAGTATTAGGAAGTATATACCCCGAAGGAGAACAGAACAAGTGTTCGAAACGTTAAAGTTGAGGTTTATAAAAGAATTCCATAACATTCCCATATATTTGTAAGAAGTAATGTATTACCATATAAGGTGACCATTTAGGATCAAATAATTGCTAATTTTTCGTCCGGGTGAAGTTTAAATACTAATTACCTGCTAGTGCATTAACATACCCAGCCCTGCAATGAAAATTGTAAAACAAAATTATCGAAAAACTTTTTAAGTATTCTTCAATTTTAAGTTAATAAGTTTCTATACTTCCAGTTCTAAAATAGTGAACAGTGATAAATGAATCCTACAGAAGGTTCATTTAAGACTCAATAAAGGTGTTTGGAATTTTTGTAATATACTAGAAACGCCGAATAGAGGCAATAATAAAAACACGTTATCAATGAACCTACGCTTGCTATTGGTTAGACAACGTGTCTTGAAGCCCCGGTAGATTCAATTAAGCTTTAACTTTCCACATGATGACCGCATCTGTTGAGCATTTATAGTCCAGTATAATATGTGTCCGCTCCAGTCGATGATTGGATATTTTCCTCAGAAAAATCAATCAACGTGCCTTCTATTAGACATTGGGTTTCGTAAACGACCTGATAACAGTTGGTTATCAGAAGTCATTTAATTAGTGTTCACTATTTCAGAACTGGAAGTATAATCCTGACATATGGAATGACCTAACTTTTTAAGCCGGCATTGGATTACCACAAAAGTACAAACTTCTGTCAAATAATGTTTATTGCTCTTTGGTTTATGAATACCAGTACAACAGCGGAATGGAATGGAGATGAGTCAAGTGAAGCGGTATTGAAAATCGGACCAGATCAGGTAGGAAAGACATTATTTGACAGAAGTTTATCCTTTTATGGGAATCTTATGGCAGTTTCATCTAGAAATTTTGCTTCCAAGGAGTATACACCACCGTGTGTACTAAACTCACTTGGCATTCACCTAGTAAAACTTTTGTGACTTACGCGGCTTAAGCTAAACCACCCTTATAAGTCAAAGTGGCTATTGTATAACTTAACTCAGTTGACATATACCTAGTAAAACTTTACAGCTCCATTATGGCTACAAAAGACTTGCGGTTCAGATCCATAAAGCTTACAATAGCCAGTTGGACTTTGGGGTTGTTTGGCTTGAGCCGTTTAAGTCAAAAGTTTTACTAGGTGCATGTCAAGTGAGTTTAGTATACTACCATACTAACAAGCTGTGACAGTAAATATGCAGTTTAATTACATCATCGAATAGAAATTGTTTGTTTTGGTTTGTTTGGCTGTTTTCCAAATTGATTCTCATCTGATATTTCTTTAAATCTGATTATTTGTATATACAGGTGAGTCATTAAGTGCACGGCTCTGGATGTGCCATTAATTACTAGAAATAGAAAATATAAGTTACAGGCTAAAGTTATATAATTCTTTGCGGAGCATACACTAAAACTATTTTCGACTATACATAGTGTTATATTTTGGAACCGTGTACGACTAGTTTTTTTTTTGTGAAACACCAATATATTTTGCCATATTCTCATTGGCCTGGTAGGATTTGTAACCATAGTTTGTTTTTGAAATTCTGATGCCATGTCGTTCTAATTTTCTTGAATTTTTTTAGCAAGGCAAGGGTTCGCAAAAAGAAAGATCACAGTAGCGTTATTTTTGTAGTCTGTGTTACAATATTTTAGGCAAAGATTAAAAACGCGTTCCTTTGTTTATCTTTCCCCAAAGTATTGTAACATTGATTTTAAAAATATTTCTATTGGGATTTTTTCGCATACCTTTGCGTTGCAAAAAATTTCAAGAAAATTGAATTAACATGGCAACATCACATTTGAATTTTAAAAATGAACTACCATGTTAAAGCCTACGAAGAGACCATCGAGAATATGGTAAAATATATAGGGTGCTCTTATTATGTGGAAAGTATTTGGTAAGTTTTGCGAACACTAATTTAACATACTGGTGAGTGATTCCTTTGTCAAATTTTGTCTTCAAGTTTTGATTTTTGAAGTATAACCGAAAATTTGTGTCACCATCAAGTGGGCATAATTAATATATCAGTAGCAAGACTAAGTTCGTTGATCACGTGTTAGTTTTTTGGGATGGCAGAAACCAACTTACCCAGCATTGTACAGCAAGTCTAGTTATTAAATGCAGTACCAACTCCAGAAAACCGAAAGCACTGTCCGCTTAGATCGTATAAGTGCGCTGAAAATATTGGCCGAGCGTTTAGCAGTAAACCGCTGTTGTTTTCTTGCGCTGGTAGATGCTTATTGCGGTCGCCCAAGTTAATTTACTCGCTTTTTCTAGGAATTACAGGTTAAACGGAGATGTTTTTGTTGACGAAACCGCAAACTCTTCCACTTTACAATACTTGTGCCAAATCGAAAAAACGATGTTTTCTGATGGCGTTTTTGTTTCAGAACAAAACTGGAAGCCCAGGGCTGCTTCGAGACTTGGCCGAGGATCTTACATCAGGCATGTGAAGAAGGTAAACGAAAATTTTCGCACACGCGGCGCGTGAAGGGGCCTTTAGTACGGCACGTTCGTTGCAAGCATGTCATCTTTGTTTGTCGTCGGTTGTCTTTGTCTCCAAATGGTCGCGGGCCGTATTTCGGTGTCGAATGTAGGTGCCATATCAAGGATGTTGAGGTGAATAGCTCCGAAGCAGGCTCTCTGCGTGCTGTGCACCTCATGTCTTGCTTGGAACTTTAAACGTAGGTGTTTTTAACGTTTTTAAAGGCACCAACGGACGTTCGACCAACGGTTTTGGCGGAATTTCGAACAGAGGTTCGTTGAGCGCCAGATTACACTACCGTTTATAACATTATGCCAACTATTATTTCATCATTTGAGGATATTATCGTCGTCGTGGTCGCGTTTTTCTGTCAAATCAACAACTACGAAAACGAAAATATTAGTTCGGAATTTCTGTAATTATGTTTAGATTATGACGACTTTTTTAAAGAAATACCTCTCTTTGTTGACTTGAATTGCGAAAATGTAAAAAGTTTAATATCCGTAATACTTAAGGTGGACCATGGCCAATTATCTTAAAGTAATGCTTGCGGTGATTTTTTTTTAATTACGGGCTGAGTATTTATTTTCAAGAAAAATTTAAATGATCTATTTCCGCATTTCAAATAGTTGTGTTCTGATGGTAAAATCTCTCGTGATTTTTAGTTAATTGGAAAAATTGCAATAGTGTGGGTGTTTGTAAAATTCAGAAGTATTTCTAATTTTTTCAAATCTACTTTTTTCTCGTTTAAGAAATACCTAAATAAAAATTCAAATATCTATTTGTAAGAACTTTGGCTGAAAGTTCATAATCCTGAGATATTAAAGTAATAATTTTTAAAAATACAGATATTCAGATAATAAATATGAATAAAGAACACAGTTTGTGCCAATTTTTTGTTGTTATTGTCATTGTTATTATTCTTAGTCTTCATTCAAATTAAAAAAAAAAATCGAATTGATTAGGGGTTTCCAAATAACAACTTTTGGAAACAGACAGTCAATGTTCACTATTTGGCGGACTCTACTTTAACAACTTTTGCTGTAACTGTAAAAATCGAACTCCATTTATGTTTAACCATCGTAGGTTCCTAACTAAAGGCGTCACATGCGAGTCTCGGTATATATAGTAAAGCAACGAAAATAGTGGTTGTACAATTTTGACTTCTCCACCAATCTTGTCAACGAATGGCAGCTTATTATATCCAAATTTATGACACCATCTCAAACTTCAATAGTGGCTCTTTGTTGTCTGTGTTTGGTTTCTGCTAAAGAGGACCGGCTTTTTTAGCAATATTAGTCTAAGATGTTTTTTGTTCACAGACGAAGAGTTTGGAAAAATCAAAGCCATCAAAGCACTATTTTCGTTGGTTGACAGTGGTTCACTTGACGTAGGTTTTTACAAAATTGACCAAAAATCTTTAGAAAATTCTGGGATATACATCTCGATGAACTGATTCGAAAAAACAAAGTGCTGGTCCAGAACAAGTTCTTCAAAAAATTTGCGTTGAAAATTAGTTTTTTTGTACCTCGAAAGCTTGAAGAACGATAAAAAATATTCTGAGATATAGATTTCAACGAGTTGATTCGAAAGACACAAAGTACTAATGGTCTCGGATTTTGGGCAAATTCGATTTGAAAACGATTTTTTTTAATATCTCGATATTTATCTCGAAACACAGCGAAAAAATTAATTGAAGAATTGTGATTTTGGGAAAGTTATCTAAAAATTCTCAAAAAATTCTGCGACATAATAGATCTCGACGAACAGATTGGTGATAGTCCACCAACATAATTTTCGAAAAATTCGGTTTGAAAATTTATTTTTCTAAGTATCTCGAAAGCTCGAAAAATGATCAGAAAGTTCAAATGAAAAATTAGATTTTTGAAAAATTGCTAAAAATTCTTCAAAAATTCTGGAATATAGATCTAGACAACCTAATTCGAAAAACATACAGTGTCAGATTTTTGAAAAATTTGATTTGTATTTTTTTTATCTAGTATCTCGAAAAACAGTCAAAAAATTCATTAAAAATTGTGATTTTGGAAAACTTGCCTAAAAATTTTCAAAAAATTTTGGGATATAGATCTCGATGAACTGATTGTAAAAACAAAGTGTTGATAATCCCCGAACATGATTTTAGAAAAATTCTATTTGAGAATTTATTTTTGTAAATACATATCTCGAAAGCTCAAAAAACGATAAAAAAATCGAACGGATCTCGGTGAGTTGATAATTCAAAAAACAAAGTGTTAATGTTCCGAACTCAGATTTTCGAAAAAATCGGTTTGTAAATGTTTTTTTTTTATACCTGATATCTCTAAAAATCGTAAAAAAATTCATTAAAAAATAGTGATTTTGGGAAGGTCCAAAATTTTTTTCAAAATTATGTAATCTCGACGAACTATTCGAAAAAATCAAGTCTTAATGGTCGCCGACCATGGTTTTTGAAAAATTCAGTTTGAAAAGTAATTTCTTTTAGCTCCATTTAATTTCTCGAAAGACCGAAAAGCGACAAAAAAATTCAGACGTATCTATTGAAAAATTGAAGATTTTGAAAAGTTGCATAAAAACTCTCAAAAAATCCTGTGATACAGATCTCGACGAACTGATTTTTAAAACCAAAGGCTCAATGGTCTTGGACCAAGATTTTCGAAAAATTTTATTTGCAAGTAGCATGTTTTAAATATCTGGAAATCTGGAAAAAGGGAAAAAAAATTCATACGGATATTGAAAAATTGGGATTTTTGAAAACTTGCAAACGGATACTCAAAAAATGCTAGGATATTGATTTCGAAGAATTGATTAAAAAAAAAAAATGTTAATAGTCCCCGAATATGATTTTCGAAAAATTCGGTTTGAAAATTTTAAATATCTCGAAAGCCCCAAAAAGAAAAATTAGATTTTTGAACATTTGCTTAAAATTATTAAAACATTCTGGAATATCGATCTCGACAAGCTGGTTCGAAAAACAAAAGTGTTAATGTCGGACTCAGATTTTCGAAAAATTTGGTTTGTAAATGATTTTTTTTTAATATATTTCGATATCTCGAAAAACAATCAAAAATTTTGTTGAAAATTTGTAATTTTGGGAATGTTGCTTAAAAATTCTCAAAAAATTCTGATTGTGAAAACAAAGTATTGATGACTGCGAATATGATTTTCAAAATTCGATTTAATTTTTTTTTTTAATTCGGAGTATTGAAAAATTTGATTTTTAAAAATTTTCTTAAAGTTCTTCAAAAATTCTGGAATGTAGATCTCAGTGAGCTGATTCGAAAAACATAAAGTATTATTGTTCCGGACTCAGATTTTCGAAAAATTCATTGAAAAATTGTAATTTTGGGAAGGTTGTCTAAAAATTCTCAAAAAATTTTGGAATAGAGATCTCGACGAACTGATTCGAAAAAAACAAGTGTTCATGGTCACCGATCATGGTTTTTGAAAAATTCAGTTTGAAACTTAAATTTTTTTAAGCTTCATTAAATTTCTCGAAAGATAGAAAAGCCATAAAAAAATTCGGATGTACGTATCTATGAATTGAAAAATTGAGATTTTTGAAAAGTTGCATAAAAATTCTAGAAAAATTCTGGGATATAGATCTTGACGAACTGACTCTAAAGGCAAAGGTCAGTAGTCCCGGACCAAGATTTCTGATTTCCAAAATTTGATTTGAAGGTAGGTATTTTAAATACATCTCGATAAACAGTCAAAAAATTCATTCTGATGATATTGCAAAATTCACATTTTTGAGAAGTTGCTTAAAAATTTTCAAAAAACTCTGTTTAAAAGTGAATTTGTTTAAATATCTCGAACTCTCGAAAAACTATTTTACCATTCCTTGCCGATTTCAACATAGCGCTAGTTTTAATTTTTGTTTTTCGATAGACTTAACTGAAGTGGTGGAAGTTTTCTCCAGTCTAAATCTATTTCACAACGTTCTTTCGACATTGTTATGACTGGCCACCTTTAACTAACTGCCAACAAAGTTGACAATGAAACTAAAAAGAAAAAATAAACAAGAAAAATATACTAGACAATTTTATTACTAAATAAATTTAAAAAATATCCATCAAAAGGTGGAAAAATTTTAACAGCGTTAATTTATTCTCTTTTAGACGCCTCAAATTATTAAAAATTGGATTAAACGCCACGTCATAGGTTGGATCAAAATAATAAGCACAACCACAGCACAAATTTCTCCCTTATATGAGAATTTATATCTTGAGAGAGTCACTTTCAAGCATCACGTACTTGCTCCATTATTTTCCTCTCATATACAAAATTCAGACCAGTTAATGGTGGCGCACGTTCCTTCAACAAGAATTCATCTTGCGACCGACTTTATTTTTGCATGTCCTTACAAATACCTCCAGCTTTTAGCAAATGCACCGAAACCGTAAAAGCTTCTTTAAAACGCCACCGAATTCAACTTTCTCGGAATGCCCTTTTCAAAGAACGTAACAAAAGGCTTTAACAGATTTGAGTGCTTTTCCTGTCGAGCGACGCATTGTAATATGTTAAGTGGATCTGTACAGAAAGCAACGTTCATAATTTTTTAAAATAACAAACACATTTCCGGTGCATTTTATGAAATGTGCTTAGTGGACAATCGGTCGTGAAAGTGAAGTCTGATCCAAAACTCAATAGACATCAACGTTCCCATGACATGACTGAGACAGTAAGTCGATATTTCCGCAATTTTGTGGGAAAATTCTGATTGAACGGTAATCGTGCACTCCAGTTTTCTAGAAAAGTTATTCCGAGAAATTAGATAATATTACCAAATCCGGTTGTTTATTTAGCACTTTATGTTCTCCAGTTTAGAAGCTTTTTTATTTTAGCACTTGTGTTTAGATGTTCCATTTAAGCACGCAAGAATAGCAACAAAGTACAAAAATGTGATGAGTTTTGTTAACCAGATGGCGAATGATTGAAGATCGAAACTGTTCAATCAAGGAATCAAGACTGCG